TGATCACAATGGAAATATTGTGTAGAAGAATTAAAAATGGAAGAACGTTACATGGCATTGATAATTGTTGCATTGGCATATCCATTCATTTGGTTGTTACAAATTTTGAATTAAGATTTGGAAACTTTTGCATTAAGAAAAGAAGGTTTGTGAAATAAGATTTCATTGAATTGCTTGGGTTAAATACGTTGGTAAGTCCAGATAAGGGGTGTAGATAAATTAATTAAGTTGGCCTGAGTGTCTAGGGTAAAAGATCGAAAACACGCGCGGAGGAGGTAGCACGTGTCTTCCGGTTAGCTACCGGTAAAGTGGGATTTTGGTAGTGCTAGTCATGCCTATTTACAGACACCAACCTAGAGATTACCTGAATTGTATTTACCGCCCTGTGAACTTGATGTAAAATTATTGAATTGTTAAAATGTCAATGTCTCATTGTGCATGAAGGTTTTAAAGATAAAGATACGACTTTTTTAAAGGCATAGCATGGCATGTGCATTTCATTTCATGAGACTTGTACAAAATGTATATACTTTGTTAAAAATTTTCTACTGGGTTTTATGCTCACCCTATGGGATTTTGGTGCTGGAAAAAATGTGGTGATTCCGCCAAACTAAGTAAGTGGATATATGTGTTGAGCGCACAAGGCTCTTCATTGTGATTGTAATTTTTGCAAGCGAATGGCTATACTTGTATGGGTTCGAGCAACCATTTTGTGTAACCGGGCTTAAGTCTTGGACTTTGTAGCCTCTTGAGGGCGTTTATTTATTTTGACTAGATGTTTTACATGCTATAAATTCATATACCGAAGTCATTGAATGTATATCTGCATGTGGAACTCTTTTGTAAACACTTTATGATCATGTATTCAAATGTTTGAGAATTACTTCTGTTATCATAAAGAGCGGTGGTTGATGTACTTCAATTATGTAGTTTTCTTGAGGCGTTACAGATTTGGTAATAAATAAATTTATATATTTCTCTTTATCTATATATATTACTTATTTGGATAAATAATAAGTAAAGAAGGGAGAAATAGGATGAAATGAGAATAAAAATGGTCAGGAATTCATTGTATCTTATAATTCTCATTTTGAATCTCTCCAAAAGTAGAGAGATTGGCAGAGAATAGAAATTAATCAATTACGATTTTCTTATAATACCAAAATTATCCTATTAAATATAGAAAACATATTAAAAATAAAAATAAGTTACAATTATAAAAAGTTATTTTGGTAACATAATAATTTTTTTCTTTTCTTTTGTCTCTTATTTATCTAAACAAAATGGAAAGAAACGCAATTTTTCCTTGCTTTTATTTTTTCTCTTAACTTATGTAATCATTTCTTTTCTTTTCTTCTCTCCTAGATTTCCAAATATTGTATTAAATTGTGCTACTTACATTTTATGTGGTCTATTTTGTTGTTAATTTTGTGTCTATAAACTTATTCTTCCGATAATAGCCCACATACACTCTGTCAAGTCTTCGTTTCTTTATTTAATTTATTCTAAAAAATAAATAACAGTACATTTTTTGTGTTCCAAAATTTTGAGATTTCCGTCCTTCGCAATTTGTATATGAAATGAATATTTCTATTCAATTCATTTCATAAGATTATAATACATCATAAAATTTTAAATTAACAAATCATGACTATAATGTCATTTTACTTAATAAAAAAGAAATCATTATCTTTTAAACTTTTCTTAATTGGAGGGAAAAAATGAATGACTACTCATCGACTTGAGGTATTATTTCAAGTCGTAATAAAGTCTATCTGAAATCTATCCTACGGTCATACTTTATGATTGTTTTTGTAAGTTTTTTCAAAGTCTTATTGAGAAACTAAAGAAAAGTCTTAAAGAACCAATAAGCATACACCAAGTTGAGAAAACAATCGTCCCAAACTTGTATCTCATCAATAGAAAGAGCATATCGCGCAATTCTATTCACGACTCAATTACATGTTTGCGGACAGAAACAAAAAGGAAATTGCTAGGCCCTCCTCACTAGAGGGTCATTTATCCAAATAAATATATTTCGTGTGAGGTCTACAGTTTTGATAATCCAATTCCACATGAGCTATGGAGGAAAACAAATTCAACATGAAGTTGACCCATATGGGACTAAAGTTGAACTTATTTTGGTGATTTAAAGTGTTAATTTCATATAACTACTAAGAAAATTATTTATGTAAAAAATAAAGTCGATCTAATATCAATTGTCACACTATAAGATCATTTTAAATATGACATACATATTTTTAATAATAGACCGTCTATTTGTTATAATATATAGTGACCTTATTTGGCAAAGGCTTTTTTTTTAAAAAAAACTTTTTGGAATAAAATTCACAAAAAGACATAGGCTAAAATAATTAATAAGATAAAATGTCACATCAAATTCATAATCATTTTATTTTTTCTCTTACAAATATTTTATCTAATTATAAAAAAAAAAAATCTAATCATCTTCCCAAACACAAATATTTTAATATATTAAGATAGCAAAAAATTAAAATAACCTACTAAAATAACTAATTTCCTAAACGAGGCCAGTGTAATTTAATCATGTAATTACTTATGTCTAACAATTCAATTTTATACATGCATGTACTTCTTAAGTTCCTAACTTATCATATGAGATGATCGTTTCATATCATTAAGATTGGTACAAATTAATTTTATAATACACTAATTTTATTTTAATAAATTTAAACTCGGAATGTAAGAAGTACTTTTTTTTTACAAAAATGATTTAGACCTCTAAAAGAAGAGCTCTAATAGAGCACTAATTTGTCTTTTTCTTCCCTCTTTTTTGTCTTTTACTTCACTGTTTTTTTTTTTTTTTATTGGTTGACAGCTCATTAGAGCTTTCCTTTTGCAGCTCTAATTAGAGCTCCGGAGCATGACCTTTTTTTTTTATCTTTGTCCCCGTAAAGCAGGATATCATGGAAGGCAGCAAGTTGCTTTCATTTCCAGTATTTAGGCCTCATTTGGCAATATGTCGGTTTAATTAAAAAGTCAAAGATTTTTTTTTTTTTTTTACTTTTTGTATATCTTTTCGTAAAAAATCAAAAAGTCATTACAAATATATTAATTTTTTTTAACTCATATTTTAATTAAATAACTAAAAAATTATTAAATTAGTCTGTTCTAAAACGAGACCTAAATAGTAGGAAGATGAGCAGATTAAATGAAAAAGAAACTACTATATAGTACGACCCATCAATATGGATTTAAAAATGAGTAACCCATCAATATTTTACTATTAGAGTAGGTAAAGCTATCAAGTAACGACCATTTTTATGTTGACATTTTTAGATAGACATGTTGATATCAAGATTAACACTTTTGTTTTTTTCCTACCAAATCCTTTTAATATAAGAATAATGATAGGGATTATAAAAAGTATATCATAAAATTTTAATTAGTATGTGGAGTCTTATTGTATGAATAATGCAAAGGTTGAGAATTTTTCATGATAATGTTTATAATATTTTTTTTATAATCTCTAGCATTACTCTTAATATAAATTGGAACATGAGTTGAACACCTCTCCAATTGGTTATCCAATCAAATTGGAGAGTTGTTGAATTTGATTGGCTCATCCTGACCTGAGATCCCTTTCAAATAAAAAATATTTATGTAAAAAATTAAATTAATCGAATAATATTAATCATGATGATCGAATTATATTTATCTTAAAAAATATATAGATATTTAGTTTTTAAAATTTTACTTACTGTCATTTTATAAAACAAATGTAATCTAGTGATATACTTACTAATATCGATCAATTTTATTTTTTACATATATTATCTTCTTAACAAGTCTTACAAAATAAACATTTCGAATCACTGGAGTTAGACCCTACCCACTTAACTTTCAACACACCATTAAATTTTGTTAATGAAACTATAAATTGACCTAAATACTCTTATTTTAATCCTCTCTTCTAACCTAAATCTCCACTTTACCCTAATTGTTATAGCTTTGATTTATGTCAAATGAGAGTGCCAGCCAAAGTAGATATTGTAGGCCATGAATAGATAAGGTTTCTTTAGCAACTGGGTTCAGGTTTGTGACCTTTTCATAGCTTGTCTCCTAAAGATAAAGAAAGATCTCATACAAAATGCAGATCACAAGTGAGCATCAGAAGTTCATTCACATCAATCAGCAGTTGTTTCCCAGCCTCAAGGTTTGAGTAGGTTTTTTGTTTGCAAACTATCATCATGGCTGCAAAATTGAAAGAGAAAACAGATAAGATCAAGGCCAAGTTAAGAAGGCGAGTCAGATTATGATCCGAAACCAAAAAAGTCCTCTTGGGTGGACTGAATATATTTCGCTTAGAACCATCCACCAAACATTTCCTTTCAAATGTGATTTCAGATTACACAGATGATCAACTATTTCAGCCTAAAAACCTCAGTAGTAAAAGGCACACATTCCAGAAACTGAGATCAGATATCAAAACAGCCGATAAGGCAGCACATTCATGCTATTCGACTTGTAACTCCACATTCGAGCAGAAAACAAAAAACTGATAATTCCACGGTTACACCTATTAGCATAATTTGGATTCCTTGTAACAAGTTTAATTTCTCTACGAAAATATAAGGGATTTGAAATGGTCCTTAGATTGAGCAGACTGCTAAATCTGGATTCATGCAGATGCACCAAATGGTTGGGACAAGACGTCATTGAGTTGAGCATACAAAAACACGCGCTTTAAGCCAATTGAGTTGATAAAACCCAAAAATAGCTTTAGTCCAACTCATTTAACTGCCAATTTTTCTACCAAAAATATTTTCATAGATATATCGGCATTCAAATTTTCAGTACACAACTTGTTCGATAAGGTTTCAAAATTTACATCCCTCTGAAAATGTCCCCCTTTTTTTTTCCTCTCTTTCTTTCTTTGTTCATGTTTTCCCCACCAATCAACCATAACTTCATAGCATACCACAGAATTCAAACTGAAGGCATAAGAAGTGAGTAGCTGTAGAGAAAATAATAATAAAAGCCCATTTTATTTCTTATTCTTCTATCATAGAAGTATGTATATCTTTTCAACATTATTCTTATACTACAAAAAGAGGCTTGATCCAATAACCATATTTATGTTTATATTCTTAATGAATTCAACATACAAAACAATCCTTGGAAGACTTATCGCCTGAAACCACTTCAATCCGATGCTCCTGCCCTGTTTCTATCCTCTGTATAAAAGACACCAATGACTTCCATATCTTCTTCTCCTCTCAGTTCAATTTATCGCCACTGTCATATTCACAGGAGCTGGCAATGGATAAATTGAAGACTCTGCACTATACAAAAACCGCAAGCAAGCACACCGAATTTGAAGCATAGGACCTCCTACGTACCAGACTCGCCGAAGGCATATATACATACAGCGAATGGAAAACCCATGTCATGATTGAGCTATTGCGCCATTTGAATCATCTTGATCTTCCCAATTTACGAAACAGCTCTCACTAAATCACTCTGATCAACTAGATATCGAAGCTTGCCAAATTGACTCTGTAAGTGTGCAACAAACAACATTATTAGTTTCATAAGTTACATACTTCATTGAACATGTAGCATATATGAATGCACACAGATAATATCTATCAAACCGAATAGGACGTAAATTCTTGAAGTTAGCAAGAAAAAAAGTTTAAAGAATGATTGATTTCATTCTCTGAAATTATGACAATGCTAAATCCCAAACTTAGAACTTTTTTATCAAATTGATCACAAATTATCTCAATACATAGAATTTGCATTATGATAAGTCAAACCCATATCAAATTAAAGCATATACATGTAGATAAACTGATGCACATGAACATATAATCAAAGTTCACATCATTAGTCCAAAAACAAAAGCAAGCTGTACCCAATTATCTACAATCTGAAAATAGTGAATTGGGATATAAAAGAGAAGAGAAGGACCTTAGACACAGTTTTGGCAATGAACTTTTTATCTAGAATATCAGGGGGTGGAACAGCCATACAATCTCTTGGTGTTTCAAACAAAGAAAGAGAGAATTGCTTATAAACAACACCAACATCAAAGTAAATCAACCCAGAGCTAGGAACATCGACCCGAATTTCCTTAACAGGGAACCAAAGAAACAAATCCTGAGCAGAAATACCAGAAAGTCCAGCGATCTGACCATAAGACAGAGTGCCCGAAACGTTTCGATCGTAGTGCAATTCGTTCTCGAACTTGGCATTGCATTCTTGATCCAAGTGGACCTGGAATTTGCCAGTGTCGTCGAATTCAAAGTCCTCGACGCCCTTTGGGAGCAAACCCATGGGCAGTCCATGGGATCGAAGGACTTCGTATATGGACAATGCTTCGGAGGCCGAAACAGAGAGATGGGTCTGAAACAAAAGAGCAAAGAAAATCAAGAATTGGGGAAGAGGAAGCATTGCTCTGTTTGGGTTGTGTTTTTTGTGTTATAGCATAGGACACCCTTGTTGAGGTGAGGAATTCTAGACAGAATTTTTGTGTTTTAGAGAGAGAAAGTTAAGGGTTTAAGAGGGTTGATGAGAGAGAACATGATGGAGAGAGAGAGAACATGATGGAGAGAGAGAGAGACAATATGCCAGCAAGAATACAGAGGGGATTAAGAGAAGGAGAATGATCAATTATTGGATTTGGACTGGGTCCTAGGGATATTCTACAACCGGGTTTAGTTTGCAAAACATTTCAAACGAATAAATGATGAGTACGTGTACAAGTGAGGGGCATAATTGTAATTTTATCTGGAGTGGTTGGAACATTTGTTATGTTTAGTTTCTGTCTGAACATTTGTGGTATAGGATACGGCAGAAATATCTTTTGACACGTGTTGGACATTGGATGGTGACTTGTTCACACGAGGAAATTGTTAAAAAAAGAAATGGTGATACTACTGCGCGCGTGAATGGCCGTGGGGATCACAACTTGACGAGCTGAAGATGACAACTTGTTTCAATTTTGGATAAATAATAGCAACCCCCCTTAAGTTTTCAAAATTACAGTCAATGTCACAATTTTAATGTAATTCTAATGATTACCCTCATATTTAAAATTCGTATATAACATTTAAGTCCAGCCTATTAATTAACTGAAAATGTTTGGGATTCCCTTTGAAGATGATCCCTACACCTTTAAAGTGATCTTGACCTTCTATGTATGTGTGGGGGGGGGGCCACTCATATATATGTGGGGTTCACATATATATACGGCTTCGTTTGGGAAGTGGGTTGGCTTTTTAGTTTTTTGGCTTTTTTGACTATTTTAGCCTGGGCTAAAAAACTTAGTTTGAAAAAGGTTTTTTGCCTTTTTGACTTTTTTGATTTTTTTTGTAGGAGAATAATGTAATGATTATAGGTTGGATGTGATATTTTGTTTGTTGTGGCTAAAATAGCTTATTTTATCTTTTGTGGCTAAAATAGACACAAACCATCTTCCTAAACCTAGCCTAAATTAAATGCCATCAATACTACCATGCTCACATGATTATTGGCCACTTTCTACTATGGTTGACACCTAAAACTTATTGTCATCATTGTGGCTTTCCACTATCGTCGATACCTATAACTTATTGTCATCATTGTCACCACTATTCTTTTATTTTCATATCGTCACAACTAAAACTAATGTAATTGTCGTCGCAAAACCCCAATACCTTGTCGCTAATCTTGATTTCCAATACCACAAATCTCTTCACTTCGCCACTCTGACTAATCCTAACACCCTAATTCTTTTCCAAACTTTAAGAGAATTAGCATAATTATCAATTTTTCTTCTATTATTAAGGTGACTCACTCCTAGATGGCCAACTTGTAAAATAATTAATGGATAAATTATGTATTATATTATCAATCCCTTTAATTTAAACAAAATTTTACTTTGATTTTCATATAATTTTATAAGTTTAAATCTCACTCTTTTAATTGCATTTCAATATGATCCATCAATTAGTTACCATTAGTATTTTGGAAGAAAAAAGCAATGTGAAAATTACGTAAGAAATTCAGCAATTCATGGCTAAGAAAAAAAGTTATATAGGAGGTCAATATAATTTTTTACAGATTTCACTGTGCCACCATTAGTTTTCTACGTATTATTTTTTCAATATTGACTTGGACCCCCTTCTTTTCTCACCCCCTTACCCCCTCTTCACCTGATTGGCTACTATTTTTTTTTTTTTTATTCCTTCTCCTCCAATCACCACCCGCCACGTGTCTGTGGAGGGGGTGGTAGGGTAAATGATTGGAGGGGGTCTCAATCATTCTAAAACGTAAACGGCAATTAATGGAGAAATCATATTAAAATAAAATTTAAAATGTAATGATTACACTAATAAAAAGGTAAATTACAAAAAAAAAAGAAGGTAAATTACACTGACCTCATCTAAGATTTTTATAAAATATAATAAGTTTATAATTTTGACATAACTACATTAAGTTCTTTAAAGTTTTAATCACGTAATATTTAATTTTATTTTCATCAATAATTCATTACTTACATAGATAGAAAAATAATATTCTCATATTTTTTAGACAGGAATGTATATTATTTCTTATTTATATTTTTGCCTTCATATCATCTTATTAGTTTCGGTAACTTTAACTTTACTAAAAGATATACTAATATAATTATGTTTAAATTGTGAAATTTATTATATTTTCTTTAAACTTAAAAATAAAATTTTGCTCAAATTAAGAGGATGAATCTTGTCATTTACCCACAATTTATTATGCTGCTAAAAGTATGGAGAAAAAGAGAGCAAGAGAGGTTTGGATAAGCAAGAGCGCGATTCAACAAATTGCAGAGGGCTACACTTGGGTTGAAGTAGAGAGAGAGAGAGAGAGAGAGAGAGAGAGAGATGTTTTTGTTTTGAGAGATGGATCCAAAGAAAGTTTAGCATCTTCTCATAATAATAATCCAATGTTAAAGACAAATGATACACAAATATGTATATATCTATTAGGTTTTATTTGGTTCACAAGATTAATAGTGAAAGTATTAATAATCTTATCAAATTAGTGTGGTATTTACTATTTAATTGGATTAGTAAGATAAATTATCCACTTGTCCAGTGTTTGATTTGTATTGGATAAGAAAACATATGAAGGTAAAAGAGTCTTTTTATTTTATTTTTCAACTTAGGATATATAATCACATCCCTATCTCATTACTAATAATCTTTCAAATTTATTGGATTAATTATCTATTAGATTAATAATTCTGAAACAAAATTTTAAAATAAACACAGAATTATTGGACCCATAAATTAATAATCACAACCTCATATTCTAATCCTATTAATCAAGCATGTCCAGAGAGAGAGAGAGAGAGAGATGGGGATGGGTGAGGCTGGCGTGTTGCTAATTTATATAATCTTGTCTCGGCATGAAAAAAAGCCTTTGTCTCCCAACTGCAATTATAGACATTATGTGGCCTTGTTCGGTCAATTAATATTTGCTTCAAGTAGGTCTATAAGATTCTGATCCAGGCTGTGCACTAGTCAAATTAAATTTAAATTTCGTTATTGTTGTATTGGGTGGTTCACTACTGCAATCCATCACATCTTATGATTATGATTGAATTATATGATAGTTGTATTTAAAATATAACATTTTAACAAGGAAAATGATTGGTGGCCTTAAAAAATTTACCCCTAATACCCCTAATTTTCATTTTTAGAAATTGTTTTCTTTTTTTCTTTTTTTCTTTTTTTTTTTTAAAAAAAACCTACAAAACCATTCAATGATTTCAAATCTCACAAATAAATTTATAATTTTATCATCTTATGATTATGATTGAATTATATGATAGTTGTATTTAAAATATAACATTTTAACAATATAATTATAGCACATCAAAATTCGACCTTAATAATATAATTTGAAAATAACTATTCAATATGTTTAGATCTTATATGTATTATTTTGTAAAAGTAGCCAACTACTGAATTATAGGTGCCAGAGTAAGATGTGTAATCAACTATAATTCATAATACCAAGGGGATGTTGGTTTCATGAAATTCAGATATTCTCTTTAAGGGATTTTTTGGTCAAAGTACAACTTTTAGTGTAAATTGCATTTTTAATTTTTCCAATTTGCCCCAAATTTTAATTTACTTCCTATTTGTTTCAAATTAAACAATTTAGTCATTTTGTTCAAGTTAAAGGTTCAAATTAACAACCCCGGTTGGTAGCTCGAAAATTCGTGGGTCGAATGGGTCGAAAGATCAAAACGACGTCGTTTTGATCTTTGTATATATATATATATTTTTTTTTTCAGCAGAAGGAAGAAGAAGAGAGGCAGAGGGCGAGCTGCGACGAGGACGGCGAGGCGACAAGGACGGCGAGGCGACGGAGCTGCGGCAAGGACGGCGAGGCGACAAGGACGGCGAGGCGACGGAGCTGCGGCAAGGACGGCGAGGCGACAAGGACGGCGAGGCGACGGAGCTGCGGCAAGGACGGCGAGGCGACAAGGACGGCGAGGCGACGGAGCTGCGGCAAGGACGGCGAGGCGACAAGGACGGCGAGGCGACGGAGCTGCGGCGAGGACGGCGAGGCGACAAGGACGGCGAGGCGACGGAGCTGCGGCAAGGACGGCGAGGCGACGAGGACGTCGGCAGAACCAGCACCCCGGCTCCCTCTCTTCTCCTTCTCTTTCTCCTCTCTTCTCTCCCTCTCTTCGAATTCGACCCAAATTTCGACCCACGAAATTCGAGCACCCACCCATTTTTCCTCAAATTAATGATTTTGTGACACTTATCAATCTTAAGTGTACACATAGACAAAAATAAATAAATGAAAATTTGGATGAAATGATCATTTTGTTCAAATCAAAACAAGAAAGACCAAAGTCAAAGTTAGGTCAAACTATACAAATAAAAACTATATTTAACCGACCCCGCTACGTAACTCGAAATTCGGTGGCCCGAATTTGGCTTGACACCAAAACGACATCGTTTTGGTGTCTTTTTTTTCTGTGTTTTTGTTGCAAAAGGAAGAAGAAAAAGAAGGGAGAAGAAGAAGAAGGAAGAAGAGAAGGAGCAACCCAGATGATGGTGTTCAAGCAATTTGTTCTTGATGATGTTCCAGAAAAACCCAGATTAACATCATCACAAAAATTTGTTCACGAATTTTTTCTGAAAAAATTCATTCCATAATCAACACAAAAATTTGTTCAGAAAAACCCAAATCAAAAACAGCTTTTTCTTCATCAAACCCACTGAAAAACTTATAAACATGATGAAGATTAGGCACTTGCTAATTTTTTGATAAAATCTTCTTTCCCATATTGCAGAGTGCTGCTACAAATTTTTCAAACCCGCTGAAGCTTATTTCCAAGAAAGAAGAAACAAGTTTTTCAAACCCAAAATCATCAAAATAGATACTAAAATAGATTCAGATATTAAAATTTACAGAAAACATATTCAGATATACAACATCAACATCATCAAAACAGATTCAGATATACAACATCAACAATTTTTTTTTGTTTTTTTCAGATCCAGAACAAGTAAAAAATAAATAAATATACAAAAAACAGATTCAGATCTACAACTAAAAAAAAAAAAATACTCATCATCTCCAAAT